AACACCCGTGCGGTTCGCAGCTGGTCGATCAGTTCGTCGGCGCGGGGGATGGGGTGCCGCGATTTGACTGTTACCCTGTTAAGCGCTCGGTAGTCGATGCACATGCGAAACCCTCCGTCTTTTTTCGGTGTGAACAGTATCGGTGCGGCGAATGGTGACGAGCTCGGTCGGATAAACTGCTTCTCTAACAGATAATCTAAATGCTTCCTTAGTTCGTCGAGCTCGGGCTGTGTCAGTCGGAACTGGCGCTGTACAGCTGGCTGTGCCCCCGGTTCTAACTCGATCCTATGGTCATGCGCCCGCTGAGGTGGCAGCCCTTGCGGTAAGTCATCCGGAAAGATACCCGGGAATCGTTTCAGTAGTGCCTGAAGTTCGGGTGGTACAGCTGCCTGCAGTTTCTGAAAATCGCTCGGCTGCTCCTCTTCTTCCACTAATGCTATATCCACTGCGTACACGTCAGCTCCAGCAGCGACAGCCCGTTTCATCGTGATGGCGTTGACCTGGACCGTGGAAGACTCGGGTGGCTGCCAACGAGGTAGGACGACCCAGTTACCACTACTTCGCACGGTGCAGCTACCCGTCGTCCAGTCAATTCGCGGGTTATACCGTCGCAGCCAATCACGTCCCAGTAAAATGTCGTGCCCATCCAGTGTCGTTGCGAGCATTTCCTGTGTAAACCCGAAGTTCCCTCCGCAGCGGACTTTTACTCGCTCCACCTTTTTCCGTATGGCTAGTGGCGTTCCGTCGACTAAGCGTGCATCTATCTCGGGTAAGAATCGGTTAAGTGTTAACTGTAATTTCCGTGCGGCTGCGGTATTAACTAATCTGTGACTTGCTCCTCCGTCAATAAAAATCTTCACTGCTGCTCCCTGTATTTTCCCGTAGATCAGTACTGGGCAATCCGTCGCTGTACCCTCCTTATTCATCCGAGCCCGATCGATGGCATGAATCGGTACTGTGACTCGGTGAGGGTCGGTGTGGTTGGGCGAGCAGGCAGTCTCGTCAGTAGTTGGCCCAACTTCTACTAACTGCTGGCGTTTCCCTGACTCTGAGACTCCCTCCCCTGCTCTGCTCCTCGGCGCCTCAGCTCCTCTGGGCATTCGCTCTTGCGATGGCCCGGCCTGTTGCAAGCAAAGCAGCGCCCCTTAAACGGTGCGGCAGCTGCATTCGTTGCAACGGCGTGTACAGTGGCGTGCTCGGTCGGTCCCCGAGGGCGATGTCCGTAATAGGACCCCGGTCTCGGTCGGCGTAGAATGCCGATCTTCTCGGCGAGCGCGAGAATCTCGTGGAAATTAGAGAGTCCGCGCAGCATTATTTCGTGCGAGATATCCGGCTTCAGCCCTCCGACGTAACGGTCCACTCGCTCCGCTTCGTGCATGTAGCCGGCCTGCTTGCAAAGTGCGAGAAAACCGCTTGTATAATCTTGAACTGACCCGAGCTGGCGCCAAGTGCGCAATCTCTGACGCGCCGAAATTGAAGCCACGATCGGCTCAAAGCGCGCCCGAAGCCCTGCGCACCACGCATCCCACGTGCTGTATTGGGCGGTCTCACAGAACGAACTCCAGGTGACAGCTGGACCCGTGGGCCCTTCCTCGTGCGACGGTGGCTCGTAGCCGCGTGGCGACGTCACGATGACTCGCCACCAGTCCATGGCGGGGCCCCTTAGCAGTGAAACTGCATACCGGATCTTCGCGGCGTCCGACTCGACGTAATTTGCGTCGAAGAGGACGTTCATCGTGAAGACCCATGATTGAACCGTCGGACCGCCGCGTTGGCTTGGGTCGAAGCAGGGCGGGCATTGCGGCTTGAGCGGCATTGGTGCCATGATGGCTTGTTCGCCACTTGTCGCCGCAAATTCCACGTGCCGACGGGCTTCTCGGGGCTCCCGCGGGCTTGGTGCGATCCTGTTTCCTCCCATTCCAGGCATCGGCTGGGCGGCGCCATTACTGGCTGCGCCTGAGCGTTGTCCCATGCTGTCGTGTTGTGTTGGTGTGCCGGACGAGATGACGATCGGCTCATCCGAGTGTGCAGATACATTTGTTGGTGTGTGTGATGTCGCCGGAACGTTCGCCGTGGAATGTTGACAGGCGGAGTCACGTTCCGCCGTGAGCGTCGCGATTTCGAGCGCTGAATCTTCCAGTTGACGCACGAGACGATCAAGTTGCTCCTGCGTCAATGTGGCGAGCGTGAAATCGGCCATGGCGGGGGTGTCGGGCAAGCTCAGCGAGAGCCTCGGTCGTGGCCGTGCGTGCTTACCAGAGAGCACTACGAGCGGCGGTGCTGTATCGCTGAGAGACGTCTACCCCCCCCAAAAAATTGAGATAGTGGGGAAGCGAAGGTGTGGATGCGGTCCGAGATGAGATCGTAGGCTCTGATACCAAGTGTTACGAGTGCAATTGAGTGGTTGAACGAGAATTGCACTATCGAAGCAAGAATACAATGAGCGAAGGCAACGGTGGTAACGGTAATGGTCTGTGGTAGTCGCGCGACGAGCCTGGGACTGAGGTTGGGAAAATGTCGAAGCGTAGGCCCGGAGCGCGGGTTACCAGCCGAGCCGTGAGGTCGGGATGCGATGTGCGAAAATGGGGGGATGATTGTCGATGCGATGATCGCGAGTGGTAACGGTGCTGACTGAGGTGCTACAGTGATGTACGCGTTGAGCAGGGATGCGAAGTAAGGAAAAGGGATTTTCCTTACAGTAAGCCAACCTCACCAGTCACAAAACATCTCGACAAAAACATCGTAGCATAGTAAAATACGCAGAAATCAGGAACTTCACCCCCGCATACACAAAATTGTTGTGCCTCGCCTCCCGTCGTTGCGACTCCTATCGCCGCGCCCCCTGTCCCATCGTCACGCCCGCTCGTTTCTGGGAGCCTCCCTTCGTCGCGCCTCCGCTCGCCTCGCCGCGCCTCCGCTCGCTTTCTCAGAATAGTAGATTAATCTTAGGCGCCATGGCTAGGTTTTGAGGAAAACGAGAGTAGCGAGGGAGAAGTTGTACCAACAAAAAGAGGGTGATTCAATATTGAGTGAGGGTACAAATAGGAAAGAACCAACAAGAAAGGTGCACCACCAACTAAGAGAATGCTATAACTACAGTAACCAATCCTACAGGCAGTTACATATAGAAAATATTAACTTATATTTTCCGACACGCCCCCATAACTGGCTGTAGGAGAGTATGCAGTTAGCGCACCCTTAAGGGGTACATCACGATTACACAGCGGAAATTGCAGCAACAAACAAGTGCAGTGACAACCATTGCAGTGGTGGCAGATCCAGCTGTAGCACACCCTGGGCCAAGGTAGAAACAGTAGCAGGTGTAGGGGCGGCAGGTCGCCTGAGGAGCAGGCTCTGTGGCTGCAACGTGCAGCAGGACAGCAGCGGCTCGACGGCAGCACCTGCAGGCCCCTAGCAGCAAGCAGCAGAAGCAAAGGCAAAAGAGGCAGGTGGCAGCAGGGGCGGCAGCTGGAGGTGCCACGGTAGCAGTGGGCGTCAGCAGCAGATGCCCGGCTGACTTCCGCCACCCCCTCTCACCCTCCCCCCCACAGCTGCAAGCGCGGCAGTGAGAGAGAGGGGAGGGGGGACGGATGTTGGTGCTGCAAAATCTCTCTGGCCACCCCCTCACACTCCCCCCCATCCCCCACAGCGACCGGCGCTGCAGGGAGAGAGAGGAGAGAGGAGGGCGTCGGTGGTTTCCTGCGGGTGCGCTCCCGCCACTCTTTTACCCTCCCCCCCACAGCGACAGTCGCGTATGGGGCGACAAATGATGACGGCAGCTGCTGCAGACTGCTCACAGCGGTCGCCCCGACACACCACCTCCCCCATGGTCCCCCACTCCCACGACCTCCCCCCACAGTAGGAGCGCGCACGGCAGCAGCAAGTGCGACAGCTGCAGTGGGGACCGCGGGAGGGTGGGCGGGGATAGCTGCTCGAGCGCGACGAGCGGAATAGGGGGCCGAAACGGAGGCGCGACGAGGCGACGTCGGGGCAGCGTGGCCGCGAACGACGGGGCGACGAGGCAGCGCGTCGAGCAGAGCGCCGCCTTCGCCCCGTCGATCGCACTGACGATCGAAACCGTCGCGGATTTTCACGCGACGGTCGCACTGACGGCCCGATCGCAGTAGAAAGTCGTTGGGAGGGAGGGCCGCCATGACAGGGTCGAAAATTGGTGGGCCCATTGATCGAAATCTAGCTCTGATACCATCTCAGAATAGTAGATTAATCTTAGGCGCCATGGCTAGGTTTTGAGGAAAACGAGAGTAGCGAGGGAGAAGTTGTACCAACAAAAAGAGGGTGATTCAATATTGAGTGAGGGTACAAATAGGAAAGAACCAACAAGAAAGGTGCACCACCAACTAAGAGAATGCTATAACTACAGTAACCAATCCTACAGGCAGTTACATATAGAAAATATTAACTTATATTTTCCGACACGCTTCGCCGTGCCTCCGCTTGCCTCACCGCGCCTCCGCTCCCCTCGTCGCGCCTCCGCTTGCCTCGCCGCGCCTCCGCTCGCCTCTCCGCGCCTCCGCTTGCCTCACCGCGCCTCCGCTCCCCTCGTCGCGCCTCCGCTCGCCTCGCCGCGCCACCGCTCGCCTCGCCGCGCCTCCGCTCGCCTCGCCGCGCCTCCGCTCTCCTCGCCGCGCCTTCGCTCACCTCGCCGCGCCTCCCGTGCGGTCAGCGCGCCAACATCCTCGTCGCGCTGCCCCTCCTCGCGCCTCCACTCCCGCTGCCCTTCTCCCACCTGCCCATCCCTTGCCCTCGTTTCCCTGCCTTTCCATTCCCTCTTGTTACCTTCCCCTCTATTCCCTCTGCTTCCCCTCATTCCCCATCTGCTTCCCCTCATTCACCCCTCTTCTAACCTCATTTACTCCCCTGCTTCCTCTCGATTTCCCCTCTGCTTCCCCTGGTTTCCCCCCTGCTTCCCCTATTCCAGCCCCCTTATTTTCCAAATTTTAACCTCCTGCTTCCCCTAATTTCTCCTTTTGCTTCCCCTCATGTCCGCCTCTGCTTCCCCACATTTCCGCTGCTTCCCCTCGTTTCCCCCTCTGCTCTCATCGTTCCCCCCCTGCTTCCCCTCATCCCCCCCCCCTCCTTCCCCTCATTTCCCCCCCTCCTTCCCCTCATTTCCCTCTCTGCTTCTCCTCATTTCCCCCCCCTGCTTCCCCTCATTTCCCCCTCCGCTTCTCCTAATTCCCCCCTCCGCTTCCCCTCCTTCCCGCTTCCGCTTCTACTCATCCCCCCCTCCTCTTCTCCTCATTCCCCCCTCCGCTTCTTCTTATCCCCCCCCCTGCTTCTCCTCATTCCCCCCTCTGCTTCTCCTCATTCCCCCCTCCCTTCCCCTTATTTTCCCCTCTGCTTCAACCTGTGCAGAGACTTCACATTCTCTCCGTGCTTCTCTGTCCCCTAGTCCCCCATGCGCAACCCTGTGCCCATCAGGTGGTGGACGAGGCATGCCGCTTGCTGTGCCAGTCATACCATAATTGACTGCCCCTTACCCTCACCCTGTGCCCGCTGTGCCCCCTCTGTCCCCCATGCCTCCCCATGCCTCCCCATGCCTCCCCATGCCTCCCCATGCCTCCCCATTCCTCCCCATGCCTCCCCATACCTCCCCATGCCTCCCCATGCCTCCCCATGCCTCCCCATGCCTCCCCGTTCCTCCCCATGCCTCCCCATGCCTCCCCACTCCTCCCCATCCATGCCTCCCCATGCCTCCCCGTGCCTCCCCATGCCTCCCCATGCCTCTCCATGCCTCCCCATGCCTCCCTCCGTGCACCCCCTGCACCGCCTGCATCCCCTCTTGCCCCATCAGGTGGTGGACGAGGCGGACCGGCTGCTGCGCTAGTTCTACCACCACTGGCTGCCGCTCACCCTCGCTACCGTCGCCGCTGCCCCTTCCGGTGCCACTGCTGCCATGCCAGCAGTCGCCGGCATGCATGCTGACGTGGCAGTGAGCGTGCCGGTTCTGTGCGATGTCATGCACATACATGGCAGTTGCAGCGTGAGCGGTGTTCTCCCCACTCCATTCATCCACGGCCTGCAATCTCTGTGGGCCCTCAACAGTCACCTTATGCTGCTGTGCTACTTACACACCTATGTACATTCTTTGCGCTCACTGTCAGAATATTATTCTTATGTTCTAGCCTGTAGTGGGGTGCTCTATAGCGAGTACAACCCTTCTAGGGTTTGCTATTTGTATCCCCATTTCTGCTAGTTCATTCCTCTTTCTTCTTCTAACTTTTGTCATGCTATCAGAGCAGGTCGATCCCCTTGGATCGATCCTGTGGGTGGGTTACCACCTCGCTTCCGCTGCTACTTTTTCCTCCCGCCGTGCGCCCCGAGGCGCGCGGCGGTTTTCTGCCCGCCGTGCGCCCCGAGGCGCGCGGCGGTTCTTTGCCCGCTGTGCGCCCCGAGGCGCGCGGCGGGCTTCTGCCCTACGTCGCGGCCCCGCCCTGCGTCGCGGCCCAGCCCCTCGAAGCGGCCCCGACCGTCGCGGCCCCGCCCCTCGACGCGGCCCCGCCCTACGTCGCGGCCCCGCCCTGCGTCGCGGCCCCGCCCCTCGAAGCGGCCCCGCCCTATGTCACGGCCCCGCCCCGACCGTCGCGGCCCCGCCCCTCGACGCGGCCCCGCCCTACGTCGCGGCCCCGCCCTGCGTCGCGGCCCCGCCCCTCGAAGCGGCCCCGCCCTACGTCGCGGCCCCGCCCCTCGTCGCGGCCCCGCCCCGACCGTCGCGGTCCCGCCCCTTGTCGCGGCCCCGCCCTCCAACTAGGCCCGTGGTGGGCCCCTTTCACCACACCGCCCCCCCCCCCCCCCCCTTCCCCCTGCCATTTCCCGTCGCCCGTCGCGGCTCCTTCGGGGGCCGCTGTGGGGTGGCGGGTATGGGGGTGGCCGGTGTGCCTTCCTCCCTTGCTCCTCCTCCTCCTTCGTCTCCCACTGCTGCAGCTGTCGCTGAGGGGGGTGGTTGTGTGGGAGACTGGGGTTTAGGGTTTAAGGGGGGGTGCGTGGGAGTAGAGCTAGCGGTGTAGCAGTGGGTGTGTATCAGGGGGGTGGGACTGTTTGCGGGAGGTTGAGCGGAGGCTGCCGGCTTGTCGTCCGCAGCACCTGTAGTCCGGGGCGCTGTCCCGGTAGCCCAGTCGTAGCCAGCTGTGCCAGCCGCCCGTGGGTCCGTTGCCCGTCCGCCGCTATTTGAGCCGCGGGGCCTGTTACTCCTGTAGTCCGGGCGCTGTCCGGTAGCCGCTGTGCCAGTCTGCCTCCTGTTGCCCGTGTGTCTGCAGCTTCAGCCGTCGCCTCCTGTCTCCTCTCCCCTCACTCTCCCTCCTCCTCCTCACTTGCCCGTTGTGACTACCACTAGCTTTGCTTATAATTGTGAACTCTAAACTATTTCTTCTTGAACTTGTGCTCAGAATGTGTGGTGACATTGTGATCCACCCTGAGCTTGTTTTGCTTTGCCTGCTCTGCTGATTACACCCCACTTTGGCTATGGGGGTGTGTCAGAATATTATTCTTATGTTCTAGCCTGTAGTGGGGTGCTCTATAGCGAGTACAACCCTTCTAGGGTTTGCTATTTGTATCCCCATTTCTGCTAGTTCATTCCTCTTTCTTCTTCTAACTTTTGTCACTCACTTTATCTCTTATTACGGTATTTGTGAGAATCTTAGTCAGAAGTGATGCACTCACAAGACTGCCTATTGCATAATCAGAAACGACAGTAGCAACCACAATAGGGCCGGTATTCATATGTTGCATCACGAAGAAGAGGTCAGGTCAACACTAAGATATGGGCATACACAATACACCCCTTATACCACTATCATCACAGGTAGACCCTTGTACCTATAAACCTCTAGCGCATAGCATAGCATGATCCACAAGTCGATCCCTACAACCAGATAACCCCGGCATCTTCAGGTACCTAGGGAAGCATCTCTCACATCCGCTAGAGTGCTCTAAGAGTGCCACTGGCGTGCTAATAGGCGAGAGACTGCCATGGTCATGACGACTCGCAAGCACTGCAATGTGCAGCACCAGTTGAGGCATGCAAAATGAACTCGCCTTATGTTCCGGCACTGCAGCATGTGGGTCTTGGCCCGCCACACAGCAACATGGCCTGCCTTTCCCTGCACCGCTCTGCACTCCCCCAGCTCACAGCAGCGCAGCCCAGCCTTGACGTGCACTGCCGCCAGCAATACTGCCAGCCTGCCTTCCCCTCCTGCATCAACGCTCCGCGGCATCCTGCTGACACTGCCAGTCCCCATATCCTGCCACAGCCCCTGCGTGCCTTCACCCGGTGGCAGGGAGGGGCGAGAGTGCAAGAGAGAGACGCTCATTACTTGTGCTTGGAAAATCCAGCCGTCAAAGAACTTGAGCATGCGTGTGTTGCTGCAGGCTGTGTAGAGTTCGCCTTTGGCGACGACGGGGCGTGAGTTGGCACTCCCTTAAGCTTGGTGGAGGTTGACTTGCCAGAGAAGGGTGTTATCAGTGATCTCCACGTCAAACCGCTCCTCCAACACGCTCCGCGCCACGTGCACCTTCCGCCACACCTGCGCGCGGATGAGAAGGAAACAAATTGAGGTGGTAAGGTGGGCAGGCGATACTTGGTAAGGTGGGTGAGGATGAAGGAAGTAGAACAGAGGGTGGGGAGACGCAAGGGCAGAGGGTGGGGGCGGCAGGGCAGAGAATGAGGGGAAGCAGGGCAGAGGTAGGGAGGAAGTAGTGCAGAGGGTGGGAGAAAGCAGGTTCAATGAAACCTAAGTTGCAATATACGCTTATCGTATATACGCTAGCGTATGCACGCTATCCGCTTGGGGGTCGACTTTGGAATACGCTTTTCTGGGCAGGGAAAAAACTTTCCTGGGCAGGGCAAAAAAAAAACACTTGGGAATGTTTTGGGGGGGGGGGGGGGGGGAGGGTGAGGCATTTTGGGGGTTTTGCAACACAGTTTTTTTTTCCCCATAATAAGATTACGACACTATACACACACACACATGTCACTAATACTCTCTTGCCACCCTAGTTCTAAGCGTACTCGTCCTCCACGACGTCATCCTCGCCTTCCTCCTCCTCCACCTCCGTCTCATCCAACCCGTTGTACCCCTCGGGAATAGGAGGCTCGTCCCCAATCCCTGGCACAACCTTCGGCATTACATCTGCGCGCGAGTGCCAGTTGCGCACAACATTCCAGTTGTGCGCAACAAAAACCAGGTCCTGGCACTTTGTAGATCCGAGGCGGTTCCGGCGGGCTGTGTGGACAGCATCCCAAGTTCCCCACCCACGCTCACAAGGGGATGCCGATACAGGCTGAGATAGCACCCTCACGGCGAAGCACATCAGGTGAGGTGCATCTGTGCCGTTCCACTGCCACCACTTCACCATGCTGTACTTACTTGCCTTCACCTTCTCCCTCTGTGCAAGCGCCTCCCGCATCCCAAAACTGCCTTTCATATCCAAGAAAGCCCTCAGCCCGTCACCCAAGGCAAGCAAGTAATCTGGACCCTCATCCCTCCCCTTCCCGTCGTGGTCGATGAGGAACTCCACGTGCTAGTTGATTAACGCCTTGAAAATCCGGATGCATTCGGCGTCGCTGCCAAAGATATCCTCCTCCTGGTCGGTGGGGTTGAGGATTCGGCCAGCAACGTGCATGGCGCAGGCGAGGTTGTTATCCCAACGGTCCTTGATGATGCTGCGGATCTTTTCCTTGTCCGCGCTACTCAGCTGCTGCTCATCCTCGTCCAGGATGTTGTTGACATCCTCGGTAAGCTGTGGCATTACATTGTAGAGCCGGCCCATCATCTCATTGGCATCTGCGTCAGTCTGCCGCATCGCCTTGTAGGGCAGCTGCATCAGCTTGCAGAAGAATTCTGCCGTCCGCCACCATGCGTCATCGAGGACCCGTTCAGCAAAGGCCTCGGCAGTTTCCTTCTGCGACCCCGAGGCCCACTCCTTCCACCTGTCGGAAAGCACCATCGCGTTGAGGGTGCTACGCAACTGACAAAGGCGGGACATAGCAATGTATTGTGTCCCGAACCGTGTTCCCGCTGGCTTCAGCGGCTGCAGCACCTTCCCCTCCACCAACTCCTTGGTCCTCAGGTAAGCGCGCGTCCAATGATGGTTGCGAACGAACGAACTCATCTCCCCAGTTCGATCCACCACCCCTTTTGCCCACCCCATCTTTCCCACGTCCTCCAGGAGGAGATCCATCACATGCGTGGCACAAGGAACCTTCTGAATGTGTGGCTACTTGGCAATCAGCTCCTGGACAGCCACGGCATAGTTCGACCCCCCATCCATACAAAACGCGACGACATTTTCTGGTCCTACCTCCTCCACCACCGGCTCCAGAATCCCCGCTATGTATCCCCCGTCTTCCGCTCCATACCGCAGTCGATCGCCTCCCTGAAGACAGCGCCGGAGTCGTTGATCAGAAGCACGTTCGCTTGCGCCCTCCCACATTTGTCCGTCATCATGTCGGATGCAATTGTTACCCCCGTCTTCTTCCAGCTCGATTTAATCCCCACCAGCCCCTGCTCAATCCCTTTGCGGACAGCGACCAGTCCAGCCCCGCCAATGAAAGTCCTCCTGGGGGGGACGTAGCCGTTGCCGCCGCGGTTGACGAGCAGCATGGCGTTGATGAACAGCGGGTGGTCCATGGTGACCTCCGGGATTCTGCAGGTCGCAAACATCAGCGCAAGGCCCTCGTGAGCATCCCGCTTAGCCGCAGAGGCATCTCCCTCCAAGTAGTTGGTTATGCGCCGCTTCCCTCCGCCAGCCTGTACTGCCGCAACTGCAGCAGATGTTGCTCGGCGCTTTTCCTCGATCGCGGAAGCCATCTTTTCGTATTTGGTGCGCATCTCGTTGCGTACGTCTTGCGGTGCCTTCTTGCAAAGCGTCACCTCGCGACGCTTCATTCCCTTCCACGAGCTCAGGTGCTGCGCGCAACGAATGGCTGCACCGGTGAAAAAATTGAAGCAGTACTTACACTCGTACTGCTGTACTTTGCCTTCTTCCCGCACAATGAGGCTGAAATGTTTGAAGACAGCGTGTTCCGGCATGTCACGAAGGTAATCCCTACCCTCAGGTCGAACAATCCGAGAACTCTGCACTGTCTGAACGGATGGCGGTGTGCATGGCGGGCTAGACATTACGAAAGAGACGGGGAACTGATGAATTGCGTAGTTGCTCGCAACCCACTAAGTAGCACAACGAGAGAAGGGAACATTGGGACATTTGGTTGGAGTGAGTAGATGGGAGGGGATTCAATGCGGTAACAAACAGAGCGCACAAAATGTGTACGTGAAAACGCGACTTGACAAATTGACACAACCAATCTCGACTGCGTGGGTTGAACCCACGTCCACGATTGGACAAGTCACGTTCGTGCAATTCGCCTTAGGCAAAACGCACGTCGTGAAATTCCGCATTTTTCCGTATGTTCGTTTTTTTTTTTTCGCCCGGGCTGCCCCAAAACAAATTTGCTGAGCGTATAGCGGATTCGCTTGCGTATAGCGTGTTGCGTGTATACGCAAGTGGATATCCGCTAAACGCAAACAGGCCTGAGCGTTTATTGCAACTTAGAATGAAACACCTCACACGGAGACAGGGAACAGGGAGAAGGGGACACAGAGAAAGGGGGGAGTAGGGAAGGGGACGGGGGAAAGCAGGGAAGAGAATGGGAGGAAGCAGGGAAGGGGATGGGGGGAAGCAGGGAAGGGGATGGGGGGAAGCAGGGAAGGGGATGGGGGGAAGCAGGGAAAGGGATGGTGGGAAGTAGAGAAGGGGAAATGGGGAAGCATGGAAGGGGATGGGGGTAAGCAAGGAAGGGGATGGGGGTAAGCAGGGAATGGGATGGGGGAAAGCAAGGAAGGGAATGGGGGGAATCAGGGAAGGGGATGGGGGAAAGCAAGGAAGGGAATGGGGGGAATCAGGGAAGGGGATGGGGGAAAGTAGGGAAGGAGATAGGGGAAAGCAAGGAAGGGAATGGGGGGAAGCACAGAAGGGGATGGGGGAAAGCAGGGAAGGAGATGGGGGAAAGCAGGGAAGAGAATGGGGGGAATCAGGGAAGTGGATGGGGAAAAGCAGGGAAGCAGGGAAGGGGATGGGGAGAAGCAGGGAAGGGGATACAGGGAATCAGGGAAGGGGATGGGGGGAAGCAGGGAAGGGGACACGGGGAATCAAGGAAGGGGATGGGGGGAAGCAGGGAAGGGGACACGGGGAAGCAGGGAAGGGGGTGGGTGGAAGCAAGGAAGCGGACATGGGGAAGCAGGGAAGGGGAGGGGGGGAAGCGACATGGGGAATCAGGGAAGGGGATGGGGGGAAGCAGGGAAGTGGACACGGGGAATCAAGGAAGGGGATGGGGGGAAGCAGGGAAGGGGACACGAGGAAGCAGGGAAGGGGGTGGGTGGAAGCAGGGCAGCGGACATGGGGAAGCAGGGAAGGGGAGGGGGGGAAGCAGTGAAGGGGATGGGGGGAATGTTGAAATGAACGAACAGGAATGGATGAACTAGCAGTGAAAACAGTACAAGTACCTAACCCTAGAATTGTGTACCCCGTATAGGCTAACCCACTGTAGCCTAAACAAGCACAACAACATATATAATGTTTGACAGGGAAGCAGGGAAGGGGAGGGGGGAAAGCAGGGAAGGGGATTGGAGGCGGATGGAAGGGGATGGGGAGGGTGGGAGAGGTAAGCAGTGTGGGGGAAATTTGCGATTATTGGGGGGAGGGAAGGGCGTGTGTAGGGGTAGAAAAGAGAGGGTGACAAGTGTGCGCGATGGGAAGGGAGACGGGAGGGATGGCGAGGGCGACGCGGCGTGGATGGCAGGGCGGAAGGGAGGGCGACGGGCGGAAGTGAGGGCAACGGGCGAAAGGGAGGGCGACAGGCGGAAGGGAGGGCGACGGGCGGAAGGGAGGGCGACGGGCAGAAGGGAGGGCGACGGGCGGAAGGGAGGGCGACGGGCGGATGGGAGGGCGACGCGCGGAAGGGAGGGCGACGGGCGGAAGGGAGGGCGACGGGCGTAACGGAGGGCGACGGGCGGATGAGAGGGCGACGCGCGGAAAGGAGGGCGACGCGCGGAAGGGAGGGCGACGGGCGGAAGGGAGGGCGACAGGCGGAAGGAAGGGCGACAGGCAAAAGGGTGGGCGACGAGCGGATGGAAGGCGACGGGCGGAAGGGAGGGCGGCGAATGGAAGCAAGAGACGAACGGGAGCGTGTGCGACGAAAGGTTACGCGAGTGACGTAAGGAAGCGTGGGCGACGTAAGGAAGCCAAAGTGACGTAAGGAAGCGTAGGTGACGTAAGGAAGCCAAAGTGATGTAAGGAAGCGTGGGCGACATAAGGAAGCAACTACCAGGAGCGAAGGAACTGAAGGCGTCGCGGGCAGGCGAAGGCGACGGGGGCAAGCATGATTTACAAAGCAATTCTAATTCGTTCACTGATAAATCACTGGCAGAAAAAAGAGATAGGGGGTGAACACTTGGGCGCGAATAGCGGGTGAACTACGTGTAGTATGACGTGCATTTAGTACCAGATGGTTTTCAAGTTCACTTCAAGTGAACAGTGCTGCCTTGCTAGCTGACCCTCCGCTCGGTAAGACTTTGAGTGTCGCTGGCCAATCACGGATCATTATCGTGAAGGAATGCTCGAATTCAGGTGGTAGCTTGGTTTTTGGCGAATTGATATTCAAGAATCTTGAATATGAAAACAGCCATGTGGTACTCGGGCTTTAAAACTTGTGCAATTTGGGCCAACGGCTTCAAGTCCCCCCTGACTGGCCCGATTTGTTGTGGTATTTTAGTGTCTTGTCACCGACATCTGATTGGGTACGAAATTTACGATTTCACTTCGGTCGTAGACTCAACAAAAGCAGAGCAGGGCCCAGTTCGGCAGGCATTAAAAAAACGGTTTCCCCGGATGGGCTACAGTAAACCAACCACCCTAGAACCTTCTTTGATAAGCGCGTGAAAGGTTATCTAGGCTCGATATAAGCAGACCATCGCCGAGCCAGGCAGTAATGGAATGCCAGCCGAACACCCCTTTTGACGCTGGCATTTTCCACCAGAGGAATCTTCCTCGATCCCTATTTCTCAGGCAAATGGTCCATTTTCTGATACGCCGCACTATGCGGCCTCGAGGGCCCGCACCACACGGGGTATCAATGATTCGGGGCAATCACACATTGCCCTGAAAAAAACAAATCCGGGTCTTTCATGCCCCTCTTCTTGCCAGCTGGAAAATCACACATCACCAACACACCATCACTAAGGGCGTATCTTTGGCTCCGGTCATGAGCACTGTTCATTCTACTGTTTGGGTCATGCGGAATTTGCGCATGACCCGAAGTGGGCTGCCAAGCCGCGCGCGACCCCAACTTTGGGTCAATGTGCAGGTGTTGGGCGACTGACGTGCACGACCCACCCCCAACCAATCATCTGGTTGCACGATTCTGGATTTACTGCCATTTTTTGGCGGTCGTCAGTCGAGTGTCACATGTGGGCAATGTCCCACGTCTTACCCCTCTGCACCCAACCACTCGGCAAATTGACCCCAGTGACCATTAGTGGGTCAAAAAATTCCCGCGTCGCCCTCCCAATATTTGGGGATTCACGCTGGGAATTTTGACGATTGTGTTTTTTCGGTGGGTTTCGCGTGGTTTCGCGTGGGTCTTGCTAAGGATGTTTCGAACTGTTCTGGCATCCCTCCATTGGATGCGACTGTTGTGGGGAGCCTGATTTTGGCGCTAAAACCTTCGCGGCTCTTTGGGAGTCGCATGAGTTCGGAGGACCCAAAGTGGCGTTTTATGTTGTTTGGGTCATCCGTAAATTGCGGATGCCCGGAACAGTGTCCATGACCCGAACCTGGATACGCCCTATTTTTTCCGACGTCCACCACTGGTTTGCAGGGCTGCCCGGGCTGCCAGTACAGTGATCTGGGCTCCATCAGCGCAGCTGCATGCGAGCTTCTGCGAAGTGTCATTTTGGGTTGAGCCATTAATCTAGGCCCATTTAATGCCAACCGAACAGTCGGGCCCATTCTTCCAAAGTTAAACTGCAGCTACAGTCTGACTTCGCAGCTGTTTAGAGGGGCCATTTTTTGGGGGCCCGTTAAAAATGCCCATAATGGCCATAATAGCCATAATGCCTGCCGAACTGGGCCCAGGTGTGGTGAATCCCTTCCGGCGGGGAATCTGCCACGCTGGACTCGATCAGGTACACTTTTGTGGCAGATACTGGATCTAGCACTAAACTTTTTGAACAGAACCTCAGTCCGTGTTCACGGTCATCCCTACACAAGAATTGACCTCGAGATCACCACATGCAGCAGATAACAAAGCTTCAGTAATTCCGCCATTTATCATCCGCCTAGACTGAGTTGTTGCGCGCATCGCCGCATTTCCATTTTCACGCCAGCTTCGCAGACCATCTGCTACTCGTTGTCAGGAAAACAGGTGGGCATGGCAGGGGTTGCTGCGGTATTCACGCCTAGTCGAGCATTGCGCCAATCTCGTCATTTGCCGGCTTCTCCTAATTCGAGCACCAGGAACCATCGTCACTCAACTCGTTCGCGCGCCGGACGATCTCTTTCGCACCAGCCGCGAAATGCGGGGAATGGTCCGGCATTCCGAACATTCACTCCTGACAAGAGGTTCTTAACCGGCGAATCCCTAGCGCCAGCATTGTTCTCCAGCTTTAGTTCCTCACACAGCTTCAATCGCTCTAAGCTTGCAGCTTCTCGCGGTCCGGTTGCCGTGAAGGCCGCTGACGGGGGATTCGTCGCAGCAGCGGCAGTCGCGGCGGATTTGGCAGTGGGGAAGAGCGCGAAAGCAGCGGAGTTCGAGCGGACGCCGGGATGTCGGCGCTACGTGTACCACGTGGAAGGGGGAGGACAGGTGAGTGGGGAGGGGAGTTGAGAGGGTGGGAGAGGGCAGGTGAGAGGGGAGGAAGGCAGTAGACTCAAACGTTGTTGAAATGTCTGGCAATACGTGTACCACGTGAAAGAGGGAGGGGGCAGGTGAGAAGGGGGAGCGCAGGTGAGAAAGGGGAGGGCAGGTGAGAAGGGGGAGCGCAGGTGAGAAAGGGGAGGGCAGGTGAGAAGGGGGAGCGCAGGTGAGAAAGGAGAGGGCAGGTGAGAAGGGGGAACGCAGGTGAGAAAGGGGAGGGCAGGTGAGAAGGGGGAACGCAGGTGAGGGTGGGAAGGGCAGTGGGGAGGAAAGGCTCCAGTTTGGCTGCTGGAAATGCCAAGTTAATGTAGCGTTCATTCTGGTGTGAGGGAAATATGGATTTCACTGCACGGGAAACTACAATGCAAGTGCAATATTCAAAGTGAGAGAAATCTGAACACGGGAGAAATTCTGGAGAGCAAAGAGTGCATGTGGAAAGGTGGTGGCGACTCTGAGATACATCAGACAATGAAACAAAACTCTCACCTGGCCCTCCTACCCCCCCCCCTCAAGCTTAGGAGTCCTCTCAAGTACCCATGCTTATACTCTCAAGTACCCATGCTTATACTCTCAAGTACCCATGCTTATACTCTCAAGTACCCATGCTTATACTCTCAAGTACCCATGCTTATACTTTCAAGTACCCATGCTTATACTCTCAAGTACCCATGCTTATACTCTCAAGTACCCATGCTTATACTCTCAAGTACCCATGCTTATACTTCAAGTACCCATGCTTATACTCTCAAGTACCCATGCTTATACTCTCAAGTACCCATGCTTATACTTTCAAGTACCCATGCTTATACTTTCAAGTACCCATGCTTATACTTTCAAGTACCCATGCTTATACTCTCAAGTACCCATGCTTATACTCTCAAGTACCCATGCTTATACTTTCAAGTACCCATGCTTATACTTTCAAGTACCCATGCTTATACTTTCAAGTACCCATGCTTATACTCTCAAGTACCCATGCTTATGCTCTCAAGTACTCAACCGCCTTCAGGTGACAGCATACGTGGTGAAGCACAATGGGTGTTTCTAATTCTTCAGCCGACTCAAATCCACCAACCTACCCTCGTCCCCCACCCCCTTTTCCCCCGTGCCCGTTTCCAGGTGTCAGCATACGTGGTGGAATGCATATGCAACGGGTGCATCTAATTCTTCAGCCGACTCAAACCCACCAACCTACCCTCGTCCCCCACCCCCTTTCCCCCCGGTGCCCGTCTCCAGGTGACAGCATACGTGGTGGAATGCAACGTGCATTTAACTCTTCAACCGACTCAAACCCCACCTAACCTGGCTACCCTCTCCCCGCGTGCAGGTGACGGCATACGTGGTGGAGCGCAACGGGTGTTTCGACGTGCTGCTGGACGTGGCTGCTGCCCACATGCAGTGCCGCCACGACCTGCCTCTCTGCATCCACTGGGTACGTACCTCTGCCTGCCTGTCTGTCCGTCCGTCCATCCGTCCATCTATCTGTCCGTCCGTCTGTCCGTCCGTCTGTCTGTCCGTCCACATGTATGGCTGTCTCCCACCCTTCATTGTGTTTCGACGTGCTGCTGGACGTGGCTGCTGCCCACATGCAGCGCTGCCACGACCTGCCGCTCTGCATCCACTGGGTATGCCTTTCAGTCCGTAAGCAAGTCATCACTCATCTCCTGCCTCTCATGTCCTCCCTCAATCTCCCACCCACCTGCCTTCATTCTACTGCTTTGTTCTTCTCTCTTCTCAAATGGTCCGTTGTATTAATTCTCTGCCTCTGCACATGCGCCACCTCTCCCCACTCTTCCCCGCCCCTGGTGCAAATTCTGCATGGGCAGAATTCCCACACGTGGGCAAATTCTGCTCTGGTGGCTCCACCTGGTTCCAGGTCTCTGGGAGGGTGAACAGTGCCTCGCTTCTCCCTTCCAAACAGACACCGCCACGTCATCAGGCACCGTTTTCGGAAAAAAAAGAAGAGGAAGAAGAAAAACTCCTACCTTCCTCCCTCCATCCCTGTTCCTTCCTCAGGGCATATTCCGCTCGGATCGCTCCACGTGGTTCCTTCTGAACGACTCCCAGACTCCGCCGGGCACCGTGTTCCTGCGAGGAAAGTGAGTCCTCGGAACGAGCCTGGTTTTTTAGATCCGCCTTTGTGTCCTCGGAAGGTTCCCCTGTCGTGCATGCACCCATGCCTATCCATCCATACCATATACAAGCATGATATGTGCATGAGTGCATGTATGGGCTGGTGTTGGAGGAGCCATAAGTGCATGCATGTATGTGTATACACACATTACACCAGCCTCTCCCACAACCCCATCCCCTGCTTTCCCACCCCTTTCACCACACCACACCACACAGGACCCATTTCCCAAAGCTCACCAACCCCACCAACCCCATCTCCCCCCACCCCTTCTTCCTTCAGAGACCAACGCCATGCGCACGGTGCTGCTGCAGGACGACCCCACACCCGGCCACCGCTCCCTGGTGCTCTCTGTCATGGGCTGTGGTGGCACCAACTCACCAAAAGCACTCTCCGTCCCACTCACCAACCCCACTCAACCCATCCCCTCCTTTCTTCCCTCAAAGGACCGATGCCCTGCGCACGGTGTTGCAGGACGACCCCATACCCGGCCACCTCTCCTCTCTCTCCCACACACAGGACCTCCCTCCCCCACCCACCCACCCACCCGCCCACCCCACAGGACCGACGCCATGCGCGCGGTGCTACAGGACGACCCCACGCCAGGCCACCACTCGCTGGTGCTCTCCCAACTTGATCCCCCTGTTCCTCGCCCCACCCTCTCCCCCCTTCTTCCCTTCCCCCGACCACCACACTCGAAGGACCGACGCCATGCGCACGGTGCTGCAAGACGACCCCACCCCCGGGCACCAAGGGCTCCTTGGTGCTCTCGTTTGACGCGGAGCTCGCCCCCTTCTCCCCGTGCCCCCCTTCCTCTTCCTCCCCCCCCCCCCTCCCCCCCCCCCTCCTCAAAGGACCGACGCCATGCGCACGGTGCTGCAGGACGACCCCACGCCCGGGCACCGCTCGCTGGTGCTCTCGTTTGACGCGGAGCTCGCCCCCTTCTCCCTCAACCTCGTGCTCTTCCAGCCGCTCGCTGGCGTGACCGGCAGCGGCATCGGAGACAAGTCCCTCGAAGGGCTCTGGCTCAGGTGAGTGGGGATTTTGTGGGAGGGCTGGGAATATGTAACCGTGTTACCAGGGGTTAGTGATGGGTGGTTCGCCCAGCTCGCCCCCTTCTCCCTCAACCTCGTCCTCCTCCTGCTGCTGCCTGCCCTTCGGAGGCATCGAAGGGGTCTGGCTCAGGTGAGTCATGGGGAGGGGTCTGGCTCAGGTGAGTCATGGGGAGGGGTCTGGCTCAGGTGAGTCATGGGGAGGGGTCTGGCTTAGGTCAGTGGTGAGACGCTATGGCTATGCCACTGTGAGGGCGAGGGATTGTGCAATGTGCATCAGAGACAGCAGTGGCCATTGGCCCCTGGCATGCTGTGCATGCTATGCCGCTGCTCCTCATACCTCTCCTGTGAGTATTTGCAGAAATGATATAAGCGTTTGAGATGACCGATGTTGTGCCTGTCTGACTTCACCGTGCTTTGCCCCTGCTCATCGTACCTCTCCTCACCACTCCTCCTTTTCCCCAACCGCGCCCCCCGTCCCCACTCAGGAAATCGTGGCAGATGGATCTGTGTGTGCCCATCGACATGGGGGGAGGGGCAGCGCCAGCCCCTCTGCATGCTGTTCCTCTGCTTACCCACCGCATGCCCCCCCTTCCTCCTCCCCCCCCCCCCTTCCTCCTCCCCCCCCCCCTGCCCCCCCGACCCTTCCACACAGGAACTCGCGGCAGATGGATCTGTGTGTGCCCATCGGCATGGGGCGCGGCAGTGCCAGCCCGCTGGGAGCCACGCCCAACGCGGACGGGTCGGTGAACTTCGCCCTCTACTCGCGATATGCGGAGGGCGTTGTGCTTTGCCTCTACCTGCCTGACGACGCCGAGCCCACGGTAAGATTTCTTTTGAGACGTCTCAAAAGTCGTCTACTTACACGCAGTTTTTACACTGATAGAGTGTTTGTTGCTTGAAAAGCTGGGTGTAGCTTGCAAAAGTTACTTGTTCGCGCGAGACTCCCGAAGTTACAGCTGGCGAGAAGTGCAGTTTCAATGACACGCCCCGAGGAATGAAGACTTGGACCACTTGGACTCTCTAGGTGGAGCCACGGTTGCTCCTACCTTGTTTTTCCAGCCACGGTTGCTCCTACCTTGTTTTTCCAGCCACGGTTGCTCCTACCTTGTTTTTCCAGCCACGGTTGCTCCTACGTTGTTTTCCAGCCACGGTTGCTCCTACCTTGTTTTTCCAGCCACGGTTGCTCCTACCTTGTTTTTCCAGCCACGGTTGCTCCTACCTTGTTTTTCCAGCCACGGTTGCTCCTACCTTGTTTTTCCAGCCACGGTTGCTCCTACCTTGTTTTTCCAGCCACGGTTGCTCCTACCTTGTTTTTCCGAAACGTAGCGTTTGCCTAAATGCTTCGTTTTCACTCTTTTCTTCATTTTACTAGCACTGATGAAGGTTTGACTTGGGGCCTGTCCCAGTCAGCCGAAACATGTTTGCGTTTCAACCTCTTTAGTGGATTCGAGAGTTCGGATTTCTTGATTTTCTTGGCACTTAGCAGGGTACAACATGCAGATTCATACTACTGTCTTTCTTTCGCTAAAAGTGACTTCTCGACTGCAGCTCACCCAGTCCACATGGCTGACGGTGCCTCTACCTGCCTGATGACGCCGAGCCCACGGTAAGATTAACCCAAAGTCTGGGCTGGAGAGCCCAAGGTTTGGACTGGGCACTGGCATGTGTCGTCGGTCAATCACTCGCTCCTTGAGGCGCCATGCCCAGAATGGACGGGTTGTACAGCTGGAGATCGATCTGAAGCCGTCCATCCACCACTCATTGATGTTGCTGCATCTCCCCTCAACCCACTTTCCCCCTTTCCCCTCCAAACGAATCGCCCCGCCGTGCGTTGTACAGCTGGAGGTCGATCTGAAGCCGTCCATTCACCGCAAACTTTTGAGGCGGCCCAAAAGTGAACCCCCCCTTCCCACCGTGCCTCATGCAGCTGGAGATCGATCTGGAGCCGTCCATCCACCGATGTTGCTGCATCTTCCCCACACAACCCACCCCCACTCTCTCCTCTCCCCCCATGCCGTGCCTCATGCAGCTGGAGATCGATCTCGAGCCGTCCATCCATCGCACGGGGGATGTGTGGCACGTCAGCATTGACGCTGCTGACGTCAGCAGCTTCACTCGCTACGGGTACCGGGTGCAGGTGAGCAAGGCGGCATGGATGGGATTGTTTGACATGTATGCACACGTGTGCGCAGTGCAATGCGATGCCCATGTGCAGAAGCACATGTATGCAGGGGAGAATGTGGAGAATGGACATGGCATGGCATAGCATGTCTGCCAGTTGAACAGTGTGCATGTTGTAAGAGAGGGTGGGTCACACGGGCAGGGTGGTGATGTATTTCCAATCAAACATCCACATCCACAGCACACCTACCATGATGCTGCAGGTTGTTTTTTAGAATTCTCAAAAACAACCGGCAGGGTGGTGATGTACTTGCAATCAATCATCCACATCCACAGCACACCACATCCAATCAACCATGCCATGCCAACGAGGCGCATCGCATCGGGGATCGCCTCTCCTTTCTTGCGCTGCGATCACTTGAGCACTGTGCAACGTCTTCCCTTCCTGTTTCATGCTCTGATCTGACCTGATCCTCACTGTGCGGTCTGCGCTCTGTGTGTGCCCTTTGTGTCCCGTGCTGTGGCGTGATAAATCGTGCCCGCACTCTGTCGCTCTCAGGGCGACCCTGACTGGGAGGGAGGCAACCGTTTCCATTCCCGCCTCGTGCTCATGGACCCCTATGCCAAGGAGATGGCTGCTCACGTGCCCGGCCAAGGTAAGTTTGCTGTCGTGGCAGGACATGGTATGCTGACGTGGCATAAGATATGCTGACGTGGCAGGGCAAGGCAAGGAATGCTCATGGTGAAGGGCCCAATGCAAGTAGCAGAGGATTCAGCGTAGTACTCCTCGTAAGCACCATCATGACGCAAGCGATTCTGCGTTCTCTCGTGCTTTCTAGTACATGACGAACCTTGCTCGCGCTGCCTGCTCTGGTGCGCCACTGCTGCTCTGTGAATGGATTTCATCCGTCCACCCCCTGAAAATTCTCCATGTTTTCTTGCTCCTCCTCTCATTCCATTCCACTTGCCCCTCGTCCCTCTCTTCTCTCCTTCCCGTTTTCGTTTCCCCTTCTCGTGTGCTGCCTCTCGCCTCCCGCCTCCAACAGACCCGTGCCGCTGTGCACGTGCAACCTGCCTGCTGCCATCCCATCCCACCAAAGGATCTGCCTTCGCCAGCAGGGGCGGTGGCTGTCATCCCCACCATGCAAGAGCCATCGTTACCCCCTCCAACCTACCTGCGCCCCTGTGCCCCTGTGCTCCTGCAACCTGCCTGCCCCCTTTCCACCAGAGGACCTGCCATCGCCAGCAGCGGCGGTGGCTGTCATCCCCACCATGCAAGAGCCGCCCTTACCCCCTCCGACCTACCTGTGCCCCTGTGCCCCTGTCCTTCTGTGCCTCTGCAATCTGTCTCCCACCATCCCACCAGAGGACCTGCCATCGCCAGCAGCGGCGTTGGCTGTCATCCCCACCATGCAAGAGCCGCCCTTCGACTGGCAGGACGACTTCCCCCCCAAGTGAGAATACCGCCTGCCTCTCGTTCCAATATCTTTGTGTGTGTGTGTGTGTGTGTGTGTGTGTGTGTGTGTGTGTGTGTGTGTGTGTGTGTGTGTGTGTGTGTGTGTGTGTGTGTGTGTGTGTGTGCGTGCGTGCGTGCGGGTGTGCATGCGTGTGTGTGCGCGCGCGCGTGTGTGTGTGTGTGTGCGTGCGTGAACGTAACCAAACCCCAGTTTCCCTCGCCCTCCCCCCTCCTCCCTTCCTTCTCCCTCCCCCCTTCCGCCCGCCAGCATCCCATTGGAGCAGCTGCTGGTGTACCGCCTCAACGCGGTAGCCTTCACAGTGAAAGACAGGAGCAAGGGGAATGGGCATGTGCTCGTTAGTGTAACCAATGTTTCTCCCTGCTCCCCTCCCTCTCTCCACCCGCCAGCATCCCATCGGAGCAGCTGGTAGTGTACCGCCTCAACGTGGCAGCCTTCACGGCAGACGACAGCAGCGGGGTGAGCGAGGCGGGGCGAGGCACGTTCCAGGGCGTGCTGGAGAAGGTCGACCACCTGCTGGCGCTGGGTAAGTGCGGGGGCTTGGACACAATACAAGTAAAGGGGGGCCAGGGGCTGCACTCCTGGTGCAGGGTTAGGGTTTGGGACAGCGGTGTGGTCATGGAGGCGGAGCGAGGCACGTTCCAGGGCTTGCTGGAGAAGGTGGAGCACCTGCTGGCGCTGGGTGAGTGTGGGAGGGGAGGTCTAGGGCCTGGGCTTTAGGGGTCTAGGTTTTGGGTTTAAGGCAGCAACACGGTCATGAGGGGGGCCAAGCCAAGCCAAGGCACGTTCCAGGGCGTGCTGGAGAAGGCGGACCACCTGCTGGCGCTGGGTGAGTGCGGCAGCTCTAGGGGCTGGACTCAAGGCTAGGAGGCCAGGAGCTGGGCTCCAGGTTTTAGGGTCCAGGGTTGGGGGTTAAGACAGCAGGGGGGTGATGGAGGCGGGCCAAGGCGAGGCACATTTGAGGGTGTGGTAGAGATGGCCGACCACCTTCTGGCAGTGGGTGCGAGATTCTGGGTTCAGGGTGTGAGGGTGTGTGCGTTGGGCTCAAAAGTTTGTTCCAGGGCATGCTGGAGAAGGCCAACCACCTTCGGCCCCAGCGCCCAGACGCCAATGTAAAACCATCTCGCTCTGCGTGTGAGCTGCGTGTGAGCTGCAGGGTGCATGTTCCGCAGTCTCCCTTGCTGATACCTTGCTTTTCCCGGGCAGGCAGCTCATGTTTTGTCGCTATCTGCTCCTTGTGCTTCCTTCTCGTCTCACTCGTCACGTGCTCCCTCCCTCCTCTCCCCACTCGCCACATGCTCACACGTGATTGGCCACAGGAGTGAATGCGGTGCTGCTTCAACCAATCGCAGCGTTCGACGAGACTCAAGGACCCTACTTCCCTATCAAGTAAGCACCCTGCCCCACCGCTCCCAACCCATCCCAACCTCAGCAATCGCATATCCATCCGTCCCCGACAATCTGTCCTACATCTCTTCCCTTCCTCATCCCCCCCCCCCCCCCTCTTCCCCAAACCCCCCTCTTCCCCAAACCCCCCTCTTCCCCAAACCCGCCTCCTCCCTTCCGTCTATTGTGCTAGTTGATTCCCTCCCATGCCATCGTATGTTTCCACCGAGTCCCTCAAGCTCCTCATGCGCGAGAGGTACGCACGGGAAGTGGAGAGGTACACGTGGAGGCGGTGGTGGTCAGCCACACCGCTTCTTTGCCCTTCCTCCCTTTCCATCCCCTTTCCATCCCCATTCATCCCCCTTCTTCCCCCTGCCCCCCCCCCCCCCCCCCCCCCCCCCCCCCCCTCACCCTCCACCAGTTTCGTCGCCCCCATGCCCTCCTACGGATCAACGAGTGTCTCAAGCTGCTGGTGCGAGAGGTGCATGCGAGGTGGTGCACATGGAGGTGGTGGTGAGCCACACGGCGGAGGGCAGCAATGAGAACCCCAAGCCCATCTCCTTCCCTCCCCTTACTCTGTTCCCCCACTCCACTCCCCCGCTCCCCTCACCAGTTTCTTCTCCCCCATGCCCTCCTATGGGCCGAACGAGTCCCTCAAGCTACTGGTGCGAGAGCTGCACGCAAGGGGAATGGAGGTGCACATGGAGGTGGTGGTGAGCCACACGGCGGAGGGCAGCGATGAGAGCCCCAAGCCCATCTCCTTCCGTGGCATTGACAACCGCGCCTACTACATCAATGATCCCTATGGCAAGCAGGTGGGGAGAGTTTATAAGGAGGCCTCTATACCATCTGATTGTTGGCAAGCAGGTGGGGCAGTGGGAGCAAGAGACAAGCAAGGAGAGGCACTTTGAATATCGTTTCCTTCCGCGGCATTGACAACCGTGCGCGTGCGTGCCTACTGTATTGTGGACGCCTTTGGCAAGCAGGTACAGTACAGGCAGTTTATAAGGAGGCACCCCACCCAACCCTTTTGCACACCTCCACTGCCTCGACCAGCACACCAACTCACTGTTCCACGTGGAGGTGTGCAACACGAGCACCCTAACTGACTCGACCGTTGCGAGTAGGTACAGGCAATCTCAGCATTGCTTTCGCCATCCCCACCACCACCCAAACTGACTCACAGTGGTCCCTGCCCCTTTTCCCCTCTCTCCCCTGCCCCCCCTGCCCTCCTGCCCACCACTTTCCATCGTGCCACCCCCATCAGGTGGTGCCGGAGTACGGATCGCCCAACGCCTTCAACTGCAACAGCCCTGTGGCACTCAACCTCGTACGTGCCTTGCCTTGCTTGCTTCTTCCCTTTGCTCGCTTGTCCGCTTGCTTAGGGCTTTCTTGTTTGCTTGCTAGTTTGCTTGCTTGCCGCCCTGCACCAATTGGGTGGAGAAGTACCGCAAGTACGGCTTCTCAGCCATCAAATGTGACCCTGCAGCACAAGGGCACCCATGCACACCCACTCTCCCACTCGTTGCCCTACCCCCCTTTCCTCCCACCAGAAAACCGACGCCCTGCACCACTGGGTGGAAGACTTCCACGAGGACGGCTTCTCAGCCATCTATTGTGACCCTGCACCGCTGTGCACCCCTCCCCCCCGCTTTCCATGCCCGCTTGCTCCCCATTCAGATCACGGACGCGCTGCACCACTGGATGGAGGAGTACCACGAGTACGGCTTCTCCTTCATCAACTGCTGTGCCCCTGCACTGCACTCCTGTGCCTCCCTCCTTCCTTTCCTTCCCCCCTTCCTCCCACCAGATAACCGACGCGCTGCACCACTGGGTGGAGGAGTACCACGTGGATGGCTTCTCCTTCATCAACGCCTCGGCTCTCACCACGGGGCCGCACGCGCAGCCGCTCTCCCGCCCGCCCCTCGTGGAGGCTCTGGCCTTTGACCCGCTGCTGGCAGCAGTGAAGCTCGTGGCCGATGCCGCCATGCCGCTGCTCTCTGCTCAAAAGGTGAGTCTGGCTGAACCTATCAGCAACTCCCCCCACCGGTCCCCTACCAACCTACCCACTCACCACTGTCCCGCCCGCCCCTCGTGGAGGCTCTGGCCTTCAGCCCGCTGCTGGCTGCTGTCAACCTCTTGGCCGATGCCGCCATGCCGCTGCTCTCTGCCCAAGAGGTTCGTTGTGGTGGTGATGTCTCTTCTCTGGGTGGGTGAGCCCCACTACCTACCCCGCCACTGCCTGCCTGCCACTGACCAGCAGTCCCCACAATCCCAGACCTGCTGCTGGCAGCCGTCAAGCTCGTCGCCGAGTCATGTTCTGAGTCGACTCAAAACACGGCTCGTCGCCGATGCCGCCATGCCGCTTCTCTCCGCGCACAAGGTGATCGTGGCATAAACACAAAACCCTAGATTTTGTTTATTTTTTTTTTGTAGAAGGTGACTGGCCTGGTCGTTGGTCCCCAGCAGCTCATAGTGAGGACTCATATCTGGCTCATCTCTTTTCTTCTTCCACCCATCCCACCTGCAGCCCCCACCACCTGTCCCTGTCCCCCAGTTCACCTCCTCTCCCACCAATCATTGCTCATCCTTCTCCAACCCATCATCCCTACCCTGTGTAACCCCCCTTTTTTTCCTGGGTAAATCCCCTCTTTGGACCCGGGCAGGCCTTTGCATTCCCACACTGGAAGCGGTGGCAGGAGATGAACAGTGCGTTCTGCTTCGACATCCGCAGATTTGTTTCCGGGCAGCCCGGTCAGATCAGCGGGCTGGCAACCCGGCTGTGTGGCAGGTGCGTGCCTCCGAAAGGCTCTCATAGGTGAGCTCATTCATCTTTTTTATTTCTCCAGTGGCTCCTCTACCCTTCCTCCTCTCCCCTTCCTCCTCTCCCCTTCCTCCTCTACCCTTCCTCCTCTCCCCTTCCTCCTCTACCCTTCCTCCTCTCCCCTTCCTCCTTTACCCTTCCCCCTCTCCCCTTCCTCATCTACCCTTCCTCCTCTCCCCTTCCTCCTCTATCCTTCCTCCTCTCCCCTTCCTCCTCTCCCCTTCCTCCTCTACCCTTCCGCCTCTCCCCTCCCTCCTTTCCCCTTCATCCTCTCCCTTTCATCCTCTTCCCTCCCTCACTCTCCTCTCCACTTCCCTCCTCTCTCATCTGTCTCTACCCTCCCTCGACTCCCATATCCCCTCTCCCCTTCCCCATCTCCCCTAACCCCTGTCTCCTTATCCCTCTCTCCTTCCTCCCCACCTTCCCAGTGGCGACCTTTTCTCCTCAGGGCGGGGCCCAGCCTTTGCCGTCAACCACATCACCGCATTCCAAGGGCGCACCCTCTCCCCTCTCCCGTTTTCCCCCTTACCCTCCCACCCCCCATTCTCCCTTCCCCCTGTTGCCCCTTGTCCCTTGTCCCTTCCCCCTTTTCGTTTCCCTTCCCAGTGCTGACCTCTTCTCCTCGGGGCGAGGCCTGGCGTTTGCCTTCAACTACATCATAACGTTCCAGAGACTCACTCTGGCTCCCTTCCGCCTCCCCCTCCGCCCGTTTCACTGTTCCCCGTCCTCCCCCCCAGTGGCGACCTCTTCTCCTCAGGCCGTGGCCCAGCCTTCGCCTTCAACTACATCACTACGTTCCAGGGGCTCACCCTGGCGGACCTGGTCAGCTACAGCATGGATTCAGAGGCCAGGTGTGCGTTCGATGCATTTACACGCACGCACACATACACACACACACACAGTCACACACACACACACACACACACACACACACACACACACACACACTCACACTCACACACAGTCACACACTCTGACATGCTGTGCATGGGGCACCTCACGCAGCATTCCAGGAGCTCACCCTGGCCGACCTGGTCAGCTACAGCATGGATTCAGAGGCCAGGTGCGCGTTTGCCACCCTTGCACATCGCATCTAACTCAGCGTGCTGCCATGCTGCTGCCATGTGGCGACTTGGAAACATTTCTGCCAAGGTGTACCCGGCCTGACCTCGTCAGCTACAGCATGCCAGGTGCGAGCAGCTGAACCTGCTTTTGAGTGATTCAGAAGCAGACTCATTACACGCTGAGACGTTTCTTCCAAGGTGTACCCGGCCAGACCTCGTCAGAATGGATCTGCTTAGGGTTCACTCACCCTACCTCATCTAGTCAGCGACAGCACACCAGGTACGTACGGTAGGTAGAATTCCCTCATGCCCCAATGTGGTGTGTGAGGAGTTTTAGGCGCTTAAAGCCTCGATATTTTCCGCCATGCATGCCCTCTTGTCTCACGCAGCTGGAATTGCGGTGTGGAGGGCGTGAGCGCGGATGCGGCGGTGATGAGGACACGGCTGAAACAGGTGCGGATTGGGACAGTGGGGGGGATTGGGACAGGTGGGGGGAAAGAGAGGGTGCAGCGCGGAGACAGGTGGGGCGGGGCTGAGCCGGGTGGAACTGTGGTGTGGTGGGAGTGAGTGTGGATGAAGGGGTGATGAGGACACAGCTGAAACAGGTGTGGCCTGAGACAGGTGGGGCCTGAGACAGGTGGGGGAGAGAGAGAGGAGAGAGAGAAAAAGATGAGAACCAAAGAAATAATGAGGATGGAGGCACTAGAGGGTCCCTTAAGTACTCATGGCAGAGGGCTGAAGGCAGAGGGCAGAGGGCTGAAGACAGAGGGCAGAGGGCTGAAGGCAGAGGGCAGAGGGCTGAAGGCAGAGGGCAGAGGGCTGAAGGCAGAGGGCAGAGGGCTGAAGGCAGAGGGCAGAGGGCTGAAGGCAGAGGGCAGAGGGCTGAAGGCAGAGGGCAGAGGGCTGAAGGCAGAGGGCAGAGGGCTGAAGGCAGAGGGCAGAGGGCTGAAGGCAGAGGGCAGAGGGCTGAAGGCAGAGGGCAGAGGGCTGAATGCGAGGCAGAGGGCTGAAGGAGGGCTGAAGGCAGAGGGCAGAGGGCTGAAGGCAGAGGGCAGAGGGCTGAAGGCAGAGGGCAGAGGGCTGAAGGCAGAGGGCAGAGGGCTGAAGGCAGAGGGCAGAGGGCTGAAGGCAGAGGGCAGAGGGCTGAAGGCAGAGGGCAGAGGGCTGAAGGCAGAGGGCAGAGGGCTGAAGGCAGAGGGCAGAGGGCTGAAGGCAGAGGGCAGAGGGCTGAAGGCTAGTCCCTTCTCTCTCTCGCTCTCTCGAACACGCCGGAATTGTGAGAACCAAAGAAACAATGAGGGAAAATGACGGTGGGAAGGAGGTCGATGAGTGAGAGGGTGGGAAGGAGGTAGATGAGTGAGAGGGTGGGAAGGAGGTAGATGAGTGAGAGGGTGGGAAGGAGGTAGATGAGTGAGAGGGTGGGAAGGAGGTAGATGAGTGAGAGGGTGGGGATTGGAATGGGACTGAGCCTAGACTTTCCTTGTGTGAGCAACCTTCTAGACACCGCCATCAACTCCCCTCACTCGCTCGCACCTCTGCTTCCGTCCACTCTTCCCTGCCTCCACTCCACATGTCCCTGCTCCCCCTCCTCCTCCCCCTCCCCTAGGTGCGCAACCGCCTTCAACCGCTCTCACTCACTCCTGGTTTCCCCCTCCGCTCCTCCTCCCCCTCCCCCCCAGGTGCGCAACCACCTGGCAGTGCTCTTCCGCTTGCTGGGGGTGCTGTGAGGCGACTCAATCGCCCTCAACCGCCTTCAACCGCTCTCACTCACTCCTGGTTCCCCCCTCCTCTCCCCCTCCCCCCCCAGGTGCGCAACCACCTGGCAGTGCTCTTCCTCTCGCTGGGCGTGCCGGTGCTGACAGCTGGCGACGAGTACGGCCACTCCAAGGACGCACAGCTGGGAGCAGATTACTCGTCAGTGCTCCCCTCCTCTCCCTCCTCCCTGTCACATCTGTCCTCGCCACTCCCTCTTCGTGTGTGCCTGTGTATGAAGAAGTGTTTTGAGACGTCTCAAAACACTTCCTCCTCTTCCGCCCTGCCTCGTCTGCCGTCGCCACTCCCTCTCCCTGCGTGCCTGCCCGCCTGCCTACGGGCTGCCCGCCCGTCACTCACCAGCCTGCTCGCCGCCCGCCCATCTGCCTGCCCGTCTGTCTGTGCATGTCTCTGCTTCTATGTCTATCTGTCGGCTTTGCCCATCCCTTGCCACCGAGCACGCTCTCCATCGAGGCACACACACAGCACTGAGACCTTATCTCATCTCATCTCACCTCACCTCACCTCACCTCTTTGCCACCTCCTTCTCTCATGCTTCCTCGCTTCCTACCCGCCTCCTCTCCTCGATGCTGCCTGCGTCCCTTCCTCCCAACCAACAAGTTCCTTTTCTTCTGATGCGCCCTGGACTCAGAGTTTTGAGACGTCTCAAAACTCGATGTTGAGACGTTTCAATCCTCGATGTTGAGACGTTTCAATCCTCGATGTTGAGACGTTTCAATCCTCGATGCTGCCTCAAACTAAGAAAACTGGTAGAAAGCTGCAAGCTCGGTTCGACCGACCTGACTAATCTGATGAAAGCACTGAGTGGTACTAGGCAAGCTCGCCTAGCAAAACTTGATGTTGAGACGTTTCAATCCTCGATGCTGAGACGTTTCAATCCTCGATGTTGAGACGTTTCAATCCTCGATGCTGCCTCTTTCTCTCATGCTACCTGCGTCCCTTCCTCCCTACCAACAAGTTCCCCTTCCCTTCTTCTGGTGCGCCCTGGACTCAGCCCTGGAAATGCAGCTCTTATCACGTCAATGAGATCTCTCTACCTCACTTGCTTTTTACCACCTCCCCTCTACATCTTACTTCCTCCCTCCTAGCGAGTCCCCCCACCTCTGAAGCGCCCTGTGCACGGACCTGGGAGTGCAGCTCACTCGTTTCAATGCCATCTCTTTCTCATTCTTGCTTGCTTGCTGCCTGTCTGTCTGCTACTCTGCCTGCCCCCTCACAGCGACTCCCCCTTTCTCTGGAGCGCCCTGCGCACGGACCTGGGAGTGCAGCTCACTCGCTTCATCGCCTCTCTTGCCAACTTCCGCCGCCGCCGCACGCTGCTGCTGCAGGTGAGACGAATGGAGACGGGAGGAAAGGGAGGTGAGTGAGCTCTGTAGCACGCTGCTGCTGCAGGTGAGACGAGGAGAGGAGATGGGAAAGGAGCGAGTGAAGTCGGCTGCTTGCTGCTGCGGTGTGTCAATGGCACAAGGCAATTTTCATTACTGCTACATGTGTGTTAACCATTCAATATGTGTACATGTGGACTGGTCTAGTCTGAGCATGCTATGATTCAACAAATAAGATTCCCTGCACGGGCTGCCTCTCCTTCTCTCCACCTCCTCATCCCCAATCCATCCTCATCCTCATCCCCATCCCCATCCTCATCCCCACCCCCATGGCAGCGCAAGGACTTCTATTTCGGGGAGGACATTGTGTGGCACGGCGCCTTTCCCAACCAGCCGGAATGGGACAACCCCAACTGGTACGCTCCGAACCTTGCTGATGGGCCGAAGCTTGTGAATATGATCTGAAACTTGTTAGACGGACTGAGCCTTCAGGGTACACAGTCAGATTACTTCGTCACACACTGAGCTTTTCTTACTTCCAAAATTCCCTACTTCTCTTCCTTACTGCTTGGCTTACCCCTCTTGGCACCCATTTTTGCTCCTTCTCAGTCGTCCCTTTCTTTCATACCACCGGCAGCATCATCATCATCATCATCATCATCATCATCATCATCATCATCATCATCATCATCATCATCATCATCATCATCATCATCATCATCATCATCATCATCATCATCATCATCATCATCATCATCATCATCATCATCATCATCATCATCATCATCATCATCATCATCATCATCATCATCAGTCATCAGCAGCAGCTGCAGCACTCCTGCACAACACGGCTCCCCTCATCCTCCCTTCTCCATATCCCTTGACCATTTCCCCCAACCCTCCAGCTGCTTCCTATCTTGCATCAATCATAATACCAGCTTTGAGCCATCGTCCAAGGAGAAATCTCCATGGTGCCTCATGAACCACACCCCATGCTTCCCTTCCCACATCCTCAACCCTTCTTCCCCCCCCCCCACCAGCTGCTTCCTGGCCTGCACCGTTCACAGTGCCGGCATTGAGTCCTCAGCCAAGGAGTATGTATCTTCGGCGCCTTGTAAACATACACACCATTCACCCTCTCCTCTTCCCCCTTCCTCCCCCCACCCCTGCAGCTGCTTCCTGGCCTGCACCGTCCACAGTGCCGGCATCGAGTCCTCAGCCAAGGAGGCGGCAGAGGAGGCAGGAGTGCCGATTACCACTGCGGCTCCGGCTGTAGCACCCAGCATGCCGGTCGGCGATCTCTATTTCGCCTTCAACGCCCATGCAAACGAGATGATTGTGGAGCTGCCTGCCCCGCCTGTTGGCATGATGTGGTAAGTGAGTGAGGTTGAGGTTCTTCACGACTGTTGAGGGGCCACAGAAGTTGAGCACCCAGCATGCCGGTCGGCGATCTCTACTTCGCCTTCAATGCCCATGCGAGTGAGATGATTGTGGAGCTGCCTGCTCCGCCTACCGGCATGATGTGGTAAGTAGAGTCGAGGTTACCCTCATGGACTCATGATCCATCAGCTATGATGCGCCATCACTTATGTTGCAGAATCCATGAGCTAGACGTCTCAAAACTTGACTCATGTTGCAAATTCCATGGGGTCTGACCCATGGCTTATGCCCCATGAACCAGAAGCCATGACCACGACCCCCATAACCCATGACATGTAAACCACGATTCATGACCCATGCTCCATGAGCTGGGGCAATTGACCCGTAACTCATGCCCTATGAGACATCGCACTTTGTTTACTGCTCATTTCAACGTATGACTGCACACGGCATGTGGATGTGTACTGTATACGCATTTGATATGGCATGTGCGTCTGGGTGGGGCACGTGACATGTTACGTATGGACTATGATGCATGTCACATGGTGCATGGCATGTGATGCATGTCATGAGATGCATGTCATGTGGTGCATGTCATGTGGTGCATGTCATGTGGTGCATGTCATGTGGTGCATGGCATGTGGTGCGGCATTCGGCTTATGACGTGTTGCACGCAGGCACCTTGTGCTGGACACGGCTAAGGACTATCCGGCTGACGCCACAGAGCTGCCGGCCCAAGGCATGCCTCCATCCATCGCTGGAAGGTATGTGACAATACTGGTACATATGATACTGAAGGGCACTCAAATGTTAACTTACATTTGTGTGCATGTGCAATCTTCAGGTGACTCAAATGGCTCATATTGGTGTTACACTTATGCTGTTTATGTTCTTTTCACAATGTTGTGCAGAGTGTCTTCCCCATACTACATGGAGGCATTTTCTGTGATCGCGTTGGAAGCTCGGGGTCCGCCTTCCCTCGCCCCTCGCATTTAATAATTTTAAGAACAACCATGTGAAGGTGCCGGACCTGTCCATTTATGCTCCTAATATACAACACGATTTGTATTAAAATTTGAATGCCTGATTTGATGATTAAGATTGTCAAGTTACATAGTGATTCAAATTATGTAGAAGGATTCGGTTCTGCTTTCATTCAATCAGGTCTAGTTGTAAGGAAATTTCCTTTTCCTTACTTTGTGTCCCTGATCAGCGCGTACACCACTGTTCCTGCCAACAGCACCCAACAGTAAACCGTTACCACTCGTGACATTTGGCTCGACACTATTCCTGCCGTTGTTCACGACGCGACCCAACCTCACGGCTCGGTTGGTAACCCGCGCTCCGGACCTCCGCCTCGGCAATTCCCAACCTAGGCGCCAGGCCTGTCGCGCACCCCATTTTCACGCATTACCGTTACCACTATAGTTTCGCTATATATCCTTGGCTCATGCCTTCGCTCATTGTACTCTTGCTTCGATAGTGCAATTCTCGCTCGATCACTCAATTGCACTCGTAACACTTGGTTATCAGAGCCTATGATCTCTCCTCGGACCGCATCCACACCTTCGCTTCCCCACTGTCTCAATTTTTTGGGGGGGGTAGACGTCTCTCAGCGACACAACACCGCCGCTCGTAGTGCTCTCTCGTAAGCACGCACGACCACGACAGAGGCTCTCGTTGAATTTGCCTGACACCTCCGCCATGGCCGAATTCACTCTCGCGACACTGACGCAGGAGCAACTCGACCGTCTCGTCTGCCGGATTCGGTTCTGCTTTCATTCAATCAGGTCTAGTTGTAAGGAAAATTCCTTTTCCTTACTTCGCGTCCCTGCTCAGCGCGTGCACCACTGTTCCCACCAACAGCACCCAACAGTAAACAGTTACCACTCGCGACATCTGCCTCGACACTATTCCCGCCGCTGTTCACGACGCGACCCAACCTCACGGTTCGGTTGGTAACCCGCGCTCCGGACCTCCGCCTCGGCAATTACCAACCTCGGCGCCAGGCCCGTCGCGCACCCCATTTTCACGCATTACCGTTACCACTATAGTTTCGCTATACATCCTTCGGTCATGCCTTCGCTCATTGTACTCTTGCTTCGATAGTGCAATTCTCGCTCGATCACTCAATTGCACTCGTAACACTTGGTTATTAGAGCCTATGATCTCTCCTCGGACCGCACCCAAACCTTCGCTTCCCCACTATCTCAATTTTTGGGGGGGGGGGGGGGGGTATACTTTGTGAAAGAAAGAACGAGAATGAATGAACTATGAATGAAGTGAGTACAAATATGAAACCCTAATTGGGTTGTACCCCCTATGGGATACCCCACTATAGCCTACACAAATAAGTAAGCTATAATGTTCTGACACACCCCCATAGGCAAAGTGGGGGAGAACAAGGGGTCACAAGACCAGTCAAGCAAAGCAAAGCAAAGCTCAGGGTGGATCACAAAGTCACCACACATTCCGAGCACAAGTTCAAGGGCCACAAGGCCAGTTCACATGCAAGATCATATATAGAGATATACAAGAGTCAAGCAAACAAGAGCAAGAGTATATATAGGTCAAGGTACAAGCAAGGTCAAGAAGTGAGCAAGTGAGGCAAGACAGGCACAAGACCTAGTTGCGTGCAACAACGCTGATGATCACAAGGCGCAAGTGCCTTGGTGAAGACATCAGCAGTGTTGGCCTCAGAGGCCACGTACGCAAGTCGCAACTGTCCACGCTGCTGCAGCTCACGAGCAAGAAAGTAGCGGAGAGCAATGTGCTTTGTCCTGTGCTCCAGTCGCTGCTCTCGACACAAGGCCAGCATGGCCTTGTTGTCTACGTACAGGACTGGAGGAGAACGAGGCGGCTCTCCAAGGTCGGTCAGCAGGTAGGTGAGCCAGCGAAGCTCCTGAGCAGCCATAGCCCCGGCGTAGATCTCAGCCTCACAACTGGAGCCGAGAACAGAAGACGAGCGAGTAGCCCGCCACGAAACAGAGTCGGAACCAAGGCCGAAGGTGTAACCCTGTGACGACCGCTGCGTAGCCTGGTCGTCAGCCCAAGAAGCGTCCGCGTGCCCAGTGAGGACCACTGGATTGCGCCCTCCAAGCACTAGCCCCATGCCCGACGTACTGCACAAGTAGCGCAACACCCTCTTCGCTGCAGCCATGTGCTCTGGTCGGTGTCACCCAGGAGCAACATTGTCAGAACTTATAGCTTACTTGTTTCTGTAGGCTATAGTGGGGTATCCCATAGGGGGTACAACCCAATTAGGGTTTCCTATTTGTACTCACTTCGTTCATAGTCATTTCACTTCTCGTTCGTACTTTCTCATGGAATCAGAGCAGGTCCCTTCCTAGGGCCTGTTCCTAGGGCCCACCGAAGCGCGCCCCGAGGCGCGCAAATTTTTTTTTTTTAGCGACCCTCCGAGTCGCCCCTCCCGTCGTGCTCCCGCTTAGGCCCCTCGTCGGCCCCCGCTTAGGCCCCTCGTCGGCTCCGCTTAGGCCCCTCGTCGGCCCCGCTTAGGCCCCTCGTCGGCCCCGCTTCGGCCCCTCGTCGGCCCCTGCTTAGGCCCCTCGTCGGCCCCGCGTACCCCTCGTCGGCCCCGCGTAGGCCCCACGTACCCCTCGTCGGCCCCGCGTACCCCTCGTCGGCCCCGCGTACCCCTCGTCGGCCCCGCGTAGGCCCCGCGTACCCCTCGTCGGCCCCACGTAGGCCCCGCGTAGGCCCCACGTACCCCTCGTCGGCCCCGCGTAGGCCCCGCGTACCCCTCGTCGACCCCGCGTACCCCTCGTCGGCCCCGCGTAGGCCCCGCCCAGGCCCCGTCTCGGCCCCGTGTCGGCCCCGCGTAGGCTCCGTCGGCCCCGCTTAGGCCCCTCTTCGGCCCCGCGCCGGCCCCACCTACGCCCTGTCGGCCCCGCGCTGGCCCCGCTTAGGCCCGCCACCGGCCCCTGCTACAGCCCGCCGCGTCGGCCCCGCCTACAGCCCGCCGGCCCGCCTAGGCCCCACTTCGGCCCCTCGTCGGCCCCACTACAGCCCGCACCGGCCCCTGCTACAGCCCGCCACCGGCCCTGCTACAGCCGCCACCGGCCCCTACTACAGCCCGCCGCCGGCCCTGCTACAGCCCGCCACCGGACCTGCTACAGCCGCCACCGGCCCCTGCTACAGCCCGCCACCGGCCCTGCTACAGCCCACCACCGGCCCTGCTACAGCCGCCACCGGCCCCTGCTACAGCCCGCCGCCGGCCCTGCTACAGCCCGCCGCCGGCCCTGCTACAGCCCGCCACCGGCCCTGCTACAGCCCACCACCGGCCCTGCTGCAGCCCGCCGTGCTGCACGTGAGCAGCCCCAGCAGCCCGCGCCGCCCGTGAGCCCCTACGCCACCCGAGCCGCGCGAGACGCCCGAGCCGCCCGAGCCGCCCGAGCCGCCCGAGCCGCCCGAGCCGCCCGAGCCGCCTGAGCCACGCGAGCCACCTGAGGAGCCGTGCTGCTGTCCCTGAGCTGTGTTCCTCTGCTGCTGACCTACCCGACTCTTCCAGCCCGGTGAGACTTTCAGCTGCTGCCATGGCCACCCCCAATGTTCTTACTTTTGACGCTGAGGGGAGGGCCATTGACTTTGCCGTCTGGATTGAAGACCTGCAGCTGTACTTACTGTGTGATGCGATAGATGAGGTCTCTCTCTTTGACTTTGTCTCTGGAGCTGTCCCTGCCCCGCCTGCTGATGCTGACTCTGCCGTTCGCTTCAAGTGGGCGACCCGCGATGCTGCTGCACGTCTTGCTGTGCGTCGCCACCTCCCTTCCTCTGAGCGTGCCCACTTCAGTCAGTGCAAGACCGCTCAGGCCTTGTACGACGCTGTAGTTGCACGCTACTCCTCCCCTTCCTCCGCTACCCTTAGCCGCCTCATGCTACCGTTTCTCTTCCCTGACCTCGCTTCCTTTCCCACTGTCGCTGACCTCGTTACCCACCTCCGCGCTAGTGACGCTCGCTACCGCGCTGCCCTTTCTGCTGAGTTCCGCGCCGCAAACCCTCCTCCCATGTATATCACTCTCTACTTTCTCGTCACCCGTCTTCCTGAGTCCCTTCGTGTCGTTAGGGACCAGTTTCTCTCTGTCTGTCCCACCACCCTCACTGTCGACCTCCTTGAGGAGTCCCTGCTAGCGGCTGAGAAGAGTATAGTCGCTGTAGGGGCCTCTAGGGGTGACCCTCGCACCCCCATCTTTGAGGGGTGTTCTCCTTCCCCCCTGCTGCCCTCTGTCGCCTCTGCCGCTACGGCCGACCTCGCTGGTTTTGAGTCGGTCGGTGCGGCGTCTGCCCCCAGCGGCAGACGCCGCTCTGGCAAGGGCAAGGGGGGCAAGGGAGCGGGTGGATCTAGAGGAGGCAGTGGCGGAGGAGGTGGGGGTGGCGGGGGGAGTGGGGGTGGCGGTGGAGGTGGTGGCGGGAGTGGAGGTACTAGTGGCGGCGGTGGAGGCGGAGGTGGCGGCGGAGGTGGTAGCGGAGGAGGCGGTGGGAGCGGTGGGAGCGACGGTCCTGGTGGGGGAGGTGGCGGTGGAGACGGGGGTGGCGGTGGAGGCGGGGGTGGTGGTGGAGGCGGGGGTCGGAGTGGCTCGTCCCAGCGGAGCAGCTCTGGGGGTGGTCAGCGCCAGCAGCAGCAGCAGCAGCAGCAGCAGCAGCAGCAGCCGCAGCAGCAGCAGCGCTCTCGCACCGTCCCCGGCCCTCAGCAGCTCCGTGAGTGGTACTTGCAGCGTCAGCGCGGTGGTGCTCTTGGTCCCTGCCCCTACGTTCTTCGCACCGGTGACCGTGCGGGGGAGAGGTGTGGAGGCGCCCACACAGCCCGTCGCTGCTTTGGCCGCCTGACCGACGCCTGGCGTCAGCAGTTTCCGGAGGCCGCTGAGATCCCCCGCTGGGGAGAGCTGTCTAGGGCTGGAGTAGCTATTTATGATCTTGCCTTTGATGCTATTCTCTCTGCTATGTATGCTGTGACTGGTAGTGATGAGGATGACTGTTAC